CTGTATAGGCAAGATCATTGAAAATGTAGTCTTTAATCAGCTGAACAAATACTTAAACTCAAATGAATACCTGAACAATTTAAAATCTGGTTTCTGACCACATCACAGCACAGAGACAGCGCTCATTAAGATAAATCATGATATTCGCTTAAATTCTGATTTTGGCAAAATATCAGTGCTGGTCTACTACTAGATCTCAGTGCTGCGTTTGACACTGTCGATCATAACATACTACTAGAGAGACTGGAAAACGGATGACACCCAGATTTACCTAGCCTAATCTCCAAATGACTACAGCCCCATTGACTCCCTCCGCCAATGTAATGATGAAATTAACAGTTGGATGTGCCAGAACTTTCTTCAGTTAAACAAGGAAAAAACTGAAGTCATTGCTTAAATTCCTTGTTTTATTGTTGTGATTTTTTTTAATTTTCTTTTATGTTAAGCACTTTGAATTACCATTGTGTATGAAATGTGCTATATAAATAAACTTGCCTTGCCTTTTGAAGCAGTCTGTAAGTTCTTCAGTCTGTAAGAAACTTCTCTATTGTGTTTAATTGCAGGCAATGAGTTTGGCCATCCGGAATGGCTGGATTTTCCCCGAGTCGGCAACAATGAGAGTTATCATTACGCCCGCCGGCAGTTCAACCTCGGCTGGCTGGCTGCTCCCCCGGTGAGAAAAAAAATGCCTTGTCTTTCTTCCCAGTTCCAGTAAATATTACTTTCTCTGTGCGCATCACCAGAGTTTGGCTTTCTTTTTATCATCTTCCATGTTCTCAATCCACTGTCTCTCTCTCATTCTATCTAACTGTCTTTATGTGCAGCATAAAAGCTTTTTTTTTTCGTCACCAGAACATCTGCCGTTTCACTAAAACAACTATCAGTCCCTAACCAGCCCTGCAATCTCATTACTCAGGCACTTTTTATACATATTTTCACTCTGCCATATGGAAGATCCATATATGAATTATTAGCCGAGGAAAACAATCTGGCTTTTTGATGTGATTCAAAGTTATGAACGGACTGATTTACTGCTGTCGGCCGTGAAGGAGTGAAAGATGGAAGGCAGTGGCAGCTTGTCTTTAAAGAATGTTCCAGATAAATACAACAAACTCTATTGACAGGATCTGAGTCACGAAGGACAGAAAATAATTTCTCAGTTCAGAAAAAACTAACCGAAAGTTTTACGGTAATGCACTTACAGTTGGACAAGGCATTCAGGGGATTTCACAGAAAAGCGGAGCTTTTGTTATTCTGTACAAAATGTTTGTTATTTGAGATTTAAGTCTAAATCGTCCTTTTGAAGTGGAACTACTTTACTTGATGGATGAATTCAATGTGATTTCAAGTGGATGGAGTTTCTCTGAATGATTCAATCTCATTTCTTTCTGGTGGCCTTGCACATAAAACGTTTACAAATGTTTACTGCGTTTACGTGGTCATGACATGGCTGTACTTACGAAACAGTGTGAATTTTGATGTTTATCCCATTTCAGTATCTTGCAGTTGTTTTATTTATTTATTTTTTAAGTATTATTTAGATACTATTATAGTATTTATTCATATTTTGAATTAGCTTGTATTTTTATATTTTCAGTTTTCATTTTAATTTTTGTTTACATTTAGTTAGTTAGTTAGTTAGTTAGTTAGTCATTTCTATTTTATTTTATTTTATACAGTCTGATCAAATGGGACCAATCGGACAATTCCAGATAGATAGGTAATGTTACATGTCAATAATAATATTAATATGTAATTAATAGCATGTTCTCGATAACGAATTATAAGTACACTGTAAAGACATTATCCAGTAATTTTACAGACATTTCCATTAACTCTAAAACAGAACACAATGAAGTGCAAAATTCTAAATACAGAAAAATAAATATGGAAAATTCCTTCATATTAATACAGTTCATTGTGCCATATTTTTACAATCTTTAATGGTGTAAATAGTAATTATTAGTATTTTAGTATACTTATTAGTATAAGTATTTATATATACAGTATATATATATATATATATATATATATATAAGCAATATCACACTCGTAGATGTGAGATAGGGCTGTATATCGTCACTGCTGTGATTGGGCTATATAGGTAGGTAATTACAGAGTGCCGATATACAGCCATTTATTTACAAACTGCATATTTGAACTATAAACAAGAACATTCTCGCCTGAAAACCTCTTAAAACTACATTCCATGATACAAAAACAGTAATATTTTTAAAATAATACTGGATTATGTGTATATATATGTATATATATATATATATATGTATATATGTGTGTGTGTGTGTGTGTGTGTGTGTGTGTTTGTAATTTTGCTTTCATTTTTTTATATTACTGTTTATTTCTAATTTGTTTTTATTTAAGATTTAGTAATTTTCGAATTTCAACTTAAACTTATTTTATTTCAGTTAAGGCTGGAATACACTATACAACTTTTAAAATCTGATTTTAAGAGACGCATGACAGATGAAAACATTACGTGTTCTAAAATCGCCCAACAGTATCAATCATGTTTGATATCCTCCGACTGTATGGAATCATAGTCTGAAGCTATAAAATCTTAGTTTATTCCCATTGTACACTGTGATATTCTATGAAATCTGTGAACTCAAATCTGCAGACAACATTTCTAATTTTGTAGTATCTTTTTTAGTAATCTAGTAATCTATGCATATTTAATTATTTACTGTTTACTGTATTTCTTTGCTATTATTTAATTAACAAAATTTATTCCTAACAGTCTTAGTTATAGTTAAAGACAACACTGGTGTCCTTCTCTGTAGAGTTTCATTGTCTGTTCCTCTCAGGTGTGCTTGTGTCAGTCTGACCGGCAGCAAGGTGATGGTGCAAATGAAGGGAATTGGCAGGGATTAGATGGCAGACTGTGTAAATGATTGAAGATGATTCACTTCCTCCTGTGATCCGCAGCCCATTTTACACCTGCCTCATCTTGTCTCACTTTGACGTTGCCTCATTGTTTTAGATGAGGACTGTGATCACGTTTGAAAGAATAGACGAGAACTGATTTTTTTCAAAGCTCAAATCAGATTTGACATTCTGTGGTGCACAAATACATCAATTATAGAAAATAGCTTTAAAAATATCCCAAAAAATAAATGAATAAAAAGCAATGCTAAATTAATAGAAAACTGTTCTTATGTTCTCACCCTCATGAAAACCATATAAGTTTTATTTCATCCGTGGAACACAAGAATGGGAGATGAGAGGATGTGTATAACTGTCAAGTCACATAAAAGTATCATAGCAGTAATCCGTATAAAACTTGGGAGCTGTTTTTCAAATCTTCTGAAGTCATACGATAGCTTTGTGTGAGGAAAGAGACTGACGTTTAAGTCTGTAGTTCAATAAAAATCCCCATTCCACCCAAATCTGGTGCTTTAATGATACGTGAGAACATCTTGGGCCTCAACACCACAAGAGAATGAAAAGAAAGAGAAGAAATTGCGCACAAACCTCATTGATTCTTACGTGTATGTGGCAGATCTGAATGTGAGGATGTAAATTAAATTTAAGGAACTGAACCTGTTATAATACCTCCACACGCTTGGTTATATATAGATCTTAAATTATAATATGACATATCAGTTTAATAAGTAAGGGAAAGTGTACAGTCAGTATAACATTTAACTGTGATGTACATAATGGAAAAATAGTCAAATGCATAGTTTGTACAAAAAAAATTAGGGATGCACCGATACTGAGCTCCTGTACTCGTACTCGTACTCGTTAAAATGCCTCGATAGCAAACACCGATACCACACAGCATGTGATAAGTGCCATATTCAGACAAAGAAACACAGACAACAGAACAACAGACAGCAGAATGGAGTTATTAGAGATTAAGGATGTCTACGAAGTATATGTATGCAATGAATATAATGTTAAACATTCAGTATTAATGCCTGCATAGCTGATGTGCGCGAGCTGATACACAAAGCGCGCTGAGTGGATTGAGTGCGCGGCGGCACAGATGCGCGAGCTTGTCGAGTGAATATATTTATCATTATAACCGTATTAGATTACCACGATTTGAACAACTCGCGATAAATAAATACTTTCCAGCATAAAACACAGTTTTAAGTAACAGTCTCACGTGCGCACAGCAGCAGAGTAGTTTCGTTTTGAGTGAAAACAGGGCGGAAAATCTGGGAGGCTAAAATGAGCATTTTTATCAGGCTCCTATGTTTATGTTCAGTTATTTCACTTTAATCTGGCAATGAAAAGAACCTATTCATTGCCATTAAAGTGAAAATACTGAACCTACACATAGGAGCCTGAGAAAAATGCTCATTTTAGAAGAACATTTCAAACGGCACTTAGAGGCATTTGCATCTGAACTCTTCATATATATATTAATGAAAATGAGAAATGTTGGCAGTTATAAAATAAAAAAAGATTATAAACTGATTTTACCAATAGAATAATTATTACTGGAATAATAGAATAATTGGTATTCAGGATAATTGGTACTGGAATTGGAAAAATTGACTGAAATTTGTTCTGATTATAATGCAATTCATCGTATTGATACCATGATCTCAGTTCTGTTTAAAAATATTCACCTGTAACCTAGTTCCTTTAGTTTGGGAGAGCAAACGAGCTCTGACGACTCAAATGGGAGGCTTTTAGAAAAGATGAGTTGAGCTTTGAGCACGTCTTGGGTGTCTGAGCGTTTGTAATTGCTGTGTATCATCCTTGTCTTTTCCCAGGGTAGATAATCGACAGTAAAAACCTTGGCACCCACTCAGACACCCAACTCTCTCTCCACAGCGCTGACAGAGTGCTAACAAAGTATCGCTCCAGCGAGAAGAGCGCTTGTGTGCGTGAACTGAATTCTTAATTCCTTCCTCTGTTTCTTAAATTCAGCTTCGCAGTCCTCACTGAGCAGAGCTGCTCCTTTTGCAGTACTTAGATGGAGACTGGGGTGGGACAGGGGGTGGAATAGGGTGGATGATAAACTGGAACACCCTCTTTTGTATTGGTTCAGAAAAGTTATATTTCAAATAAAGGGTTTTGGCAAAATTGCATATTCAAAAAATTTGACAAACTGGCATATTAATGATTTCTGAAGAATTATCTGACACTGAAGACTGGAGTAATGATGCTGAAAATTTAGCTTTGCATCAGAGGAATAAAATATTAAAATATATAAACAGTATTATTAATTAAATATGTAGGTTTAAAATTAAATCAGTTTAAATAAATGTATGGACCCTATTTTAACGATCTAAGTGCATGGTCTAAAGCGCACGGCGCAGGTGCACTTAGGGTGTGTCCGAATCCACTTTTGCTAGTTTCACGACGGGAAAAACAGTCGGCGTGCCCGCCGCATGGTCTAAAAGGGTTGTCCCTATTCTCTTAATGAGTAATGGGTGTGTTTGGGGCATAACGTGCAATAAACCAATCAGAGTCTCATCTCCCATTGCCTTTGCGCTCGCGCCATGGCGGATTCGCTATTTACACGGTGGAATTTGCAAGCGCAAAGACTGAACGCATCTCCAGAGAGAAAACGGAGCTGCTCGTGCGCGAGCGAATAGGTAGCCTAATTCTGATACATGCAATTACTATCCATTATGACATGTAGGTATTTTTATATTTATGTAGCCTACACAATAAATAATAATCTTTTACATC